TTCATGGCGTCAGTGTATCTGTCATCTTCATCGCGTGTATGTCGTGTTCATCATCATTGCATGCAGAAGATATCCGCCAAGGTTCGGCGATCTGACCTGGAACGCGGTAAGAACGCGGTGGGTTCGCGTTTGTCGGCGACCTTGTACATTTTCTGGTCGGCGGATGGTCGCGGATGGTCGCGGATGGTCGCCGTCCGGTGTGACGGGGGTATTACAGTGTTATACTGAGCTGACTGTTGGCCCCTTTGCGGTAGCTATAGTACAGCTGTATGCCAAGTGGGCGCCAAAGGAGAGGAAAAGTATTTGCAACTAAATCACTTACACAGAGTGAAACACTCTTAAAGAGAAGAGACTCATTAACGGTGTTGACTTAGCTAACCACACTGTACACTTGGGCAACAAGTATTGCTGTGAAACGTGACCAACTACAATGAAGGATGAGCCACCACACTTCTCTGATATGTAATCACGACATTGAAACATGATTTTCCTGCTGACTTCTGCTAGAGACGTTAAACCTTGACTTTAATAAGCAGGCTATGACTTTGCCATGGAAACACGCACGCACGCACATACACGTACACACGCACACACGCATGAAACACGTATGCAGCGCAACATTAGAATTAGTGCGCACGCACACACTGCAAGTAAACATATATGCGTGCATACACTCACACACACACGCACATATGCACACATGTATGCGAGCACGAGAAAGAGAGTACGCAGAGCTATGTAATCATATCCAAATATTGTTGAACAGTAGGAATCACTATGAGTTGTAAAGTACAGACTATTTACAAACTTTGGGGAAAAAATACGGAAAACCATAAACGAGTAAAGACAACTACAAACACTAAGTCCCTGGCAAACATTTACTGACAACTACAAACACTGGTACGTACGTGGTGCACACGTAATAGCCCTTTAAACGCATAGCAGGGTGCGAAATTAACGGAAGTTCGGAGTCAAATACTTCCTGATTTACTGTCAGACGCCCTGATTGGACATATGCAGGAGTCCGTGTGACTCCCTGAAAATTCTGCCATACTAACTAGTTCGTTCCGGAGCACGGCCTCGCGGAATTACTGTATTTGTTCAGCTAATGTCCAAAATAAATTTGGCAGACGTGCAACTGCATGAATCTTAAAAATATGCACATGCGTTATTGTTAATATCTTTAATAAATTCTCAGACTGCGAACTCCCTCATTTTGCTGCGGACTCCCTCTTTTTGAAGGGTAGGGAGTCCGTTGGACTCCCTTGTTCAAAAGTTAATTTCTACCCCTGCATAGCTAAAGTGAGTACACATGCAAAGTTTCCTGAGCATAGGCTGGCCTTGACGCTTTTCAGATCTGGCTGTCCTGTCGGGCAACAAGAAGCAATTTTGTCCGAATTTTGATTTTACTTGTCCAAAATTTACGTGCAATCTATGAGCTGTTAAGGTACATTTTTGGTTCAGGGCATATCATATTACAGTATATACATGGAAAATCGGCACGAAATTCACACGTTTACTTTTGCGTGCTGGCACACTCGTGTTTCATTCCCGATTGCAGTTTTGCTGCGCTCTCTCATACCAGAGGTGCCCACCCCCTAGATTTTCAGTAATGAACACGGCCCACGCGACTGAAACAATCATGCCCCCCCCCCCGTACTTCAATCAATGCCGCCCCAGCCAGCAGACCTGTACGCACGCAGCCACACAGTGCACAGCCACAGACGTGGGTAACACGGGTGTCACGACCTGTTTTTTTCGGCAACCTTTGAAAATATAACCTGAGAATGTCATGCGATAGCAACCTGGCTTAAAGGATCTTAGGAATATTAGGGATAACTAGAAATTTTCAGTTGTCCGATCGGGCAACTAGCCAAGAGAATAACTTGTCCGGCATAGACTTTCACTTGTCCCGGGCAATTGGACAACCGTTAGTGTCGAGTGCTGCGCGGCCAGACGAGTGGAGAGTATCGCAAACCATTTCATATTTTGCCCATTTCATCAGTAAGCTGGTGCTGAGCTCTGTTAAATGCAGTGCTCAGTTAGTCAACGACTTGGTAGGCCATTAGCTCAGACTGTGCCAGCAGCACGACGTACGCGTGTCGGCGTGCGTGAGCAATGTTCGTAAATAGACAACACTCTTCGGTTCGTAGTGAAAGCTACTAGGGTACCAAGACTTACCCGTCGCATCATTGGTGACGACAATAAGAGCGTCCAGTTCTTGCAACTCATCTTGGATCTCCTGTAACTTCGTGTTAGCCTTCTTCACAATTGAGTTGATGTCAGCTAGACGTTTCTTATCACTCGTCACCTGCATACAAGTGCATGCTTAGAAAACAAGGAAGCCCACCCACACGACCCTAGGTCAGAATGCAATTCGGAATCCAGAAATAGATCAATGAATCTTGAAATGCAACCAGCTATTTTACCTGCCTCAACAGAAATAGGAATGGATCAGTGTCTTTACATGAAGCATTTTGTGCACAGTACAGTGATAACAGTAAGATTGGTTTTCTGGCTGTGTAGTGCAACTGGATATTTTTTTAGAGCATTTTGATTTATCCCTGCCTTTGACCTCTGCACCCACATCTGCAACTACATCGTGCCTGGCCTACCTATTCCTATCTGCATTCCTATGTAGTTTATCCGTGACTGCATACCTGCCCTGTCCTTATCTCTCTCCATGCCTTCCCTGCCCCATCCCTGTCTGCATGCCTTCCCTGCCCCATCCAAGTCTGAATGCCTTCCCTGCCCCATCCACGTCTGCATGCGTTTCCTGCCCCATCCACGTCTGCATACCTTCCCTGCCCCATCCACACCTACATGCCTTCCCTGCCCCATCCACGTCTGCATACCTTCCCTGTCCCATCCATGTCTGCATGCCTTCCCTGCCCCATCCCTGTCTGCATACCTTCCCTGCCCCATCCCTGTCTGCATGCCTTCCCTGTCCCATCCACGTCTGCATGCGTTTCCTGCCCCATCCACGTCTGTGTGCGTTTCCTGCCCCATCCACACCTGCATGTGTTTCCTGCCCCATCCACGTCTGCATACCTTCCCTGCCCCATCCATGCCTGCATGTCTTCCCTGCCCCATCCACGTCTGTGTGCGATTCCTGCCCCATCCACACCTGCATGCGTTTCCTGCCCCATCCACGTCTGCATACCTTCCCTGCCCCATCCATGCCTGCATGTCTTCCCTGCCCCATCCACGTCTGTGTGCGATTCCTGCCCCATCCACACCTGCATGCGTTTCCTGCCCCATCCACGTCTGCATACCTTCCCTGCCCCATCCATGCCTGCATGTCTTCCCTGCCCCATCCACGTCTGTGTGCGATTCCTGCCCCATCCACACCTGCATGCGTTTCCTGCCCCATCCACGTCTGCATACCTTCCCTGCCCCATCCATGCCTGCATGTCTTCCCTGCCCCATCCACGTCTGTGTGCGATTCCTGCCCCATCCACACCTGCATGCGTTTCCTGCCCCATCCACGTCTGTGTGCGATT